AGCTGCGGGGGGACTCTGCCTGTGCCTCCTTACCAGCAAGTTTCTGGAGGTCCATATTTTGTTAATTATGATACCCATTATTGGTGGCTTAGCATAACCGACAGTTAAATGTATCTTCTAATTCTAGGTATTAATAAGGTCAAAGGTGAAACAACTATAGTCAACCTTGATTACAAAGATAAGATAAATATCAAATAAAACTCACAACTTTGTCGAGTTATCTTCTTCTTGTGATGTTTTATGGCGCTTTGCAAACTAGTTAAAGTGCACTACCGCCACCAACTGGTAAGGGGTTAAACAAGGAAACAGGAACGACTCACCCAAAAAAAAAAAAATACAAAAATATTTTTATACAATTTTCTGAACTTTTTAACTGAGGCCTACATAATAAATATTTCAATTCGTCCTCATAATTTCTAACTTATCTTTAAGTCATTGTCACTCTGCCAGTTTCTGATGGTCCTACTGGTTTTCCCATCATGATTTCAACCATTTCCCAGCTTAAATATCTCACTTCAAGATACTTTTTTTGCAGCTTTCACTATTATTTTGATTTTTTTCATTTTTTTTCTTGTTGTCTGAGCGCTACAATTGAACTCAAGAGAAATGTGATGCAGAAGGTCTGTTTCCAGCAGTTTGGTTCTGAAAGGTTCTGACCTATCCTTGATGGTTCTGCAGATCTGGTTCCCCTGGGGCCCGCATCTTCACTGTGGTGGAGAACCAGCCAAAGCGGACCCCAGCTTCGTGGGCAAGGGAGAGGAGGCAAAGAGAGCATGAGGCAAAAGAGGAAGAATCTTGTGTTGCCATGTGACTTGCCTGTGGAGGCCTTGGCTGAAACAGGGGTTGTTGCAGAGATTCCACAGCTGATTTCACATCATCATGTCAAGATGAAATCACTTCAACCATGAAAATGACATAAGTTTTTTTTTTTTTTTAAATCTCAATCAATCTTCAATTTTGGGACATTGCTCCAGAGATTTTGAACTTGTCATTTTTTTAACTGTTGGTTTGGATCTTTCTGATTGAGATGGGATTCTTTTTGCAGCTTCAACATCATTTATTCCGTGCTTTAATTTCACTTTTCTTATCTCTTCAGAGCCTTTACTCACTTCACACCCACGGTATGCAGCAGTATGTTCTCCACCACAATTACAGCATTTAAGTTTAACTTCTTTCACACATTTTCTGTATTTGTGCTCTCTGGCACACCTTTCACATGGCTGTTTTCCTTTACATTCTGCTGCTATATGACCACATTTTTGGCATTTAAAACTCAGAGGCGGAGGATTGTACATTTTTACATTGTAGCTCATGAATCCAAGGAAAACTTTACTCTTTTTTTAAACCAAGAAATCTTCAAATTTAATTAACACAGATAAACTGTCAGATCTTTCTCCGTTTCTTGTTGTTTTAAACCGTTTAACTTCTTTTACTTTTGCACCACTTGTGTTTTCTAGAATCTCTTTTTCAGAAAATTTTAGAGGAACTCCTCCAATACTCCCCTGCTGATCCTTTTGTTCTCCAATAAGCTGCACAGAACTCTTATCCCCTTAATGTTGTTAATCCGTATGGCTTTGCCTTGCTGAGCGCTGTCTCTGCAGTTAATAGGTCTCCACTATACAGGATTTTTGCACTTCAGAGTTCAGATTCCAATCTGCAAAAGAGTCTGCCTGATTAACTAGTGTGAATATGACTGTGTAATCATTTAGTTTTTCCATGGAATGTATAGATTGTTCATGACTTGACTGTTCTGAACTGGACTCCCCTTTAATTGATCTCTGCTTTTTCAGCTTGTTCTAATTTNATTTTTGTCTCTACTCTCTTCCAATCTTCTTTGTTTTCACTATTTCCTTCTTCCATCCCACAAGAATCGCTTCCTGTTTCCTCGCAAGTCACGACAGAGGACATTTCTCCACAAGCGACTTAGAAACACACGCCATGCACATCCGAATCACCATCGAACCAACTGTTTATTTATCCTCCAGGATGCTTCATCTTAAACTCTGAGCTAACTTGGGTCCTTTCTTCATGTGACCTTAAACATCTTTAGCTACTACACAGCATAAGGATCATTTTAGGTGACCATTGTGAGCTTTACTTGTAATAAATGATGGTGTTAAAGGCACAGTAGCAAACATTTACATGGAGAGCCATATGTGCAAAATTAACTGGCAGATTCTTATAAACACATCACAGTGGCAGTTTGGACTCAAAGCAGAGTAAACATAAGAACACAAGAATAATTTAGAAAACTTCAATCCTGTCCTCAATTCTAGATAGTTTAACGGAGAAATAACTAAAACTGAATGTCCCAATAATATATTTGATCGTATTTTATTCTATCCTTTAGTCATTTATCAAGTTAAAAGCTTGATGTAATTAAAAGTGTGGAGCCCTGAGTCTCCAGACTGGACTAAATTACAAAAAAAGGGTCTGCCAATGCCTGTCTATTTTCTAAATATTAAAAGTGACTTTAATAAAGAAAAGATCACATCGAATCACAAGAACATATTGCCATGTGACGTTGTCACGGTCTTGGTTCTGTTATGTTTTACTTTGCTCCATGCTTTCTAGTTTTATTTGTTTAATTCCTATTTTGTTGTATTTTCTGGATGGATTTGAGTTCTTGGGTTTTTATTTGTTGCCCTCTGCTGCCCTCTTGTGTTGGTCCCCTTTTCCATAGCTCCTTCCTAGACTGCTCACTTCACACCTGCTCCCAATCTGCTCGTTAATCCTCTCTTTGTTCAGTCTCACATAAATACTCCACTTGTGCAGTTCCTCAGTGCTGGTTCCTTGTCTTACTTCATCTTACGTCGTGTTACCCTGGCTCCTCGTGATTGTTTTCCCCTGATGTCTCCATGGTTCTGGTTAGTTTTATATTTTCATGTTGGATTTTTGGATTCCCACCTCTGTTACCTGTGTTTATTTCATTAAATCTACAAAAAACTCACCTCTGCCTCCACTGCCTCTGCATTTGGGTCCAAAACCACAACCTAACCCTGA